CCCACAGAAAGTCATTCTTGGTTCTGTGCTCATAGCGTAGGAACTTTTTGTTTCATTCAGTACACGAGCCTCCTATTCCTGATGAGACGATATTATGGCAGCCATGCGCAAATGGAATATGTATGCAGCATGTGCTTGTCGTCGTCTTTTTCGGGTCACCTCTGTACATGGGCTCATCATCGAAATGACTATTGAAGTTTGGGGTCCCGAAACATCAAATAATTGATTTTTTTCCAAGGGCATATATATATATTCTGTATCCGCCAATCAACTTTGATGCGACATTCTCTCTTGAACTCTTCTCGCAACATTATTATGCGGCGACATTATTAGAGAATCTGTACCTACCCGTACCGGTACCAATATTTTTCATGATAAAAAAAGAAGGCATACCATCAAGAATGAATAAGCCATGAATCAAAACAACGACAACTAAAGGCAGTGAACTGCACAAGTCATGCCTACTGTACGTGATGATATTTGTGTTACAAGTATGCTTATTTGATTTTTGCTCCGAAATATTTTGCAGACTATTTTTTTTTAAAATCATCTTCCCATAATCTTCTTGAACCCCCAAAATGTCCATTCTTCCCCGTACAGTAGGCATATCAGAGACCTCAACTCCTTTTCTTTTTCTGGTAGGGCTTTGATGCCTCCTTCTACTACCCCTTCTCTCTCTATACTCCGCGGTGAGATTCTGGGATTTTACGTTTCTTGGTCTTGTCGTCCTCTTCCTCGTCTTCAGCAAAAGCACTATTGAAGATACTAGCAGCAAGGCTTTCCTCGTCTTCGGTCAAGGGCGAGCTAAGTTCCTTTTCCACGTCGTCGTCTTCTTTCCCATCTTCAGCAAATATAAGCCTGTAGGTCATGGCAGCGAGACCAGCGCCAACGAAGGGCGCCACATAAAAGATCCACCATCCAGTACTCCATGTGTTGACTCCGCCAATGGAGTTGGCGGCCATTGGTCCTATGGAAAGCGAAGACGGAAACGCTGAGTCAAATCGATCCATCCCATCCAAGCCGGAACCACTGCCAAATCTAGTGTCACTTACCAAAACTTCTTGCAGGATTGATCCCACATCCAGTGAAAGGCACCATCACAATGTGCGCCGTCATGACAGCCCAACCGATGGCAATTGGTGCGGCA